AGCAAATAACTTCTGAGTTGTTGTTGTTTGTTTATTTTTGTTTCTTACATCCCTTCCCTTGAGCAGATGATCTAGCCCTTCTTTGGCTGCCTAACACAAGCAGAATGGCTCTTTGTGGAAATGAAAAATAAGGAAGAAAAATTCACAATTTTTTTTCCATGGAAGGTTAAATAAAAAACTGTATTACAACAAACATCTGATTTCATCAACACTCTTTGTTTAATAGATTCATTCACCATTATTCATTCAAACAATTATTTATCAAGTACCCAGACAATGATTTTGTGTTAACAACAAAAATCTCTACTTTCACAAGGCTTACATCTGAGAAGATGAAGGCTTCAGCTAGGTTAAATGTCCTATGGCCAAAATCTTGGCATAGGTGGGCTGACACCAAGTTATAAGTTCCTCTTCTTTATCCTCCTCCTCTTAGTATAGGACTAAACTAAGCCTGTTAGCCTCCAGGTCCACTCCTGTACTACACAGCTGATGGACAGATTTACTTAGAACAAGGAGAGTTTTCAAGCATTATCATCAATGTTATCTCTACACCTTTACTCCCAAATATTTTCTAGCTCTCTTTTGAGAAAGACCTTCTGTCCGCTAGACCTCTTCTTTTTTTTCTGAGTGTTCTTTGGATTAAACCCAAGGGCTCTCTACCACTGAGCCATATCCCAGCCCTTTTTACATTTTATTTTCTGTCAGGGTCTCACTAAATTGCAAGGCTGGTCTAGAATTTGTAGACCACCCTCCTACACCAATCATAAAGATTACAGGTGAGTGACACTGCACTTGGACACTAGACCTCTTCAGGGGCAATATACTGCTACTGTTTTAAACTCAAGATACATGTGGTCCATACCCATAATCCCAGCAGTTTGGGAGGCCGAGGCAGGAGGATTGTGAGTTCAAAGCCAGCCTCAGCATAAGCAAGGTCGATAAGCAACTCAGTGAGACCCTGTCTCCAAATAAAATACAAAAAAAGGGCTGGGGATATGGCTCAGTGGTTAAGTACTCTTGGGTTCAATTTCCAGTACCAAAACAAAAAACAAAAACAAAAAAACAAAGCACCGGGCTAGGGTTGTGGCTCAGTGGTAGAGCACTTGCCTAGCAAGTGCAAGGCTCTGGGTTCGATCCTCAGCACCACATAAAAACAAATAAATAAAGGTATTGTGTCCAACTACAACTAAAAAATAAATATTAAAAAAAAAACACACCACCTTAAGATACCTACATAAATCCAAATAAATTCCTCCCCCAACATTCCTATCTCTAATAATAATAACACCTGCTTCCTAATTATCTAGGCTCAAAATTTCAGCCAAAGCTTTGACTCATCTTTCTTAATCCTAACATACATGTGGTCTGCAAATTATGGTAGACTGCATCCCTGTAACATTTTCAATTCTATTTTAACTACTTTACCCCATCTAGGTTTCCTTTGGCTTTCAAGGGAATTCATGGCCTTCTTATTGGTCTCCACTCTAGCTGTCAGGATATTACCACCTTCTTGGCCAAAAGATTTCCAAAGCAAATTTTCATCATTATCATCCCTCTGTTAAAAACCTTTAGTCCCTATTTATACTGAAATTAAGCACCAATACTACAGCCCAACATTCCGGGAGCCTCATCAAATGGCTCCAACCTATTTTTTTACCTTTGTCTCCTATGATTCTTTATCCATCTCAAATATTTTAGCAAAATCAAACTAGATTATTATTTTTCATGTATTCTTTCTTCTAAGAACATTTCAAATGCAACTTCTCTCATGAAACAATTTGTTATGTTCAAACCATATAAAATGTCTCCCTTTTTCAATCCCAGGTGATAATAATATGTAGTTTGAAATGCTTATCTGTTTTGCCTTGTGATATAGTTATCTGGCTACTTGGCTTATCTGCCAGCTTTCTGAGTACAAGCACTCCATACTTGGTATCCATAGGATATGCTTTCACATAGCAGGTCCTCAGCTCACATTTACTGAGTCAAAGTTGCTGAGAAAAGGTTAGCTGTCTCTGAAGTAAATATCTTGCCCATCTCTATTAAGGAAAGATTTCATTTTCTTCTGTTGCTGATTTCAAAACCTGAAAAGAATTAGTCTGGAGAAAAAAACTGTTTTCAATTCTTAAAGTAATAAAGGGACATGTAATAAAGGGCTGCAAAGACTCTCTACCAAAAAAAGAAAGAAAAAGAAGACCCTGAAGTTGGAAGTAATGAAACCACAACATAAGACAATGAAAAAGTTGAACAGACACTAGAAATCCATTTACCCTAGTGAAGACTTTTACCTAGCAAGGACTTGGAATTCTGCTGGGAGGGAGGTGTAAATTTGCACCAATGTGGGGAATTCCAATTCCATAGCAGCTATGGAATAACTAAAAATTGTGAAAGAAGGGGGAGGAAAAACAAACAAACAACAACAACAACAAAAAAAACCCCAACCAAACAAACAAACAAAAAACCTCAACTAACCAAAGAGAAGACTTTCAAGAGTCAACTCTTCAAAAATAAGCTATTGACTGACAAATGAGATTCTCCTAAATAATTATACACAACGATGATTCTACTTTCTTTAATAGTAGACCTAAAATTTACTGTGTTAAAACCTTTCTATACTGGCAATTCAGATTTTCAACTACTGCTTTTCTCCATCCTTTTAAAATCCATTCAAAACAACAGCAATGATTATGAATTCACTGAAGCAGAAAAGATAAGCTAAAGGAAACATGTTTTAGTTCAAATAAATTCTAAAAATATGAGCAGGAATATATGTTGATTATGACTTCCCTGATTACTTGTCTATTTTGTTTCCATACATTTCTCTCTCCAAATGTATTTTTATTATAAAATAATAAAACTTCATTATAGAATATTTTGGGAAAATATCACTCAGAGTACTACCACTTTCAACAGTAATTCTGCTATTTTGGCAAGCCCATTGATTATCTAATTTTTTCTTCCCCTAAGGGGAAATCATGAGGCAGTTATAATTTTATGTTTTTATCTCTTCACTATACAAACCATTTCATTTTCAAGTTGTTATAGTTTTCCTAAATGCTATTTTTAGCAGCTATATTATATCCTACTGAGTAAATATCTTACAATTCACTTTACTATATTATATAGTAAATATATATATATATATATACATACATACTTATATAGTAAATATATATATACTTATTTACTATAAGCTAGTTTACTCAGTAAAGGATTTGAGGTGGATCCATTACCAGTCTTTTATCAAGAGTAGCTGAATCTTTGCTCTGACACTGCAACAGTCTTAGGCACATAACTTAACCTACATTTGGGTTGTTTTATTATGATTGATTCCAAGAAGTAAGATATTCTATCAGAGAAGATAATAACTTTATCTAATTACTTTTTAGACAAATTGTATCAGTTTGCAAAGTCAACAGCAATATACAAGTCTCAGTTTAACTGTACCCTCACCTGCCCTGGTTATTATTAGCATTTAAGAGAAAGGAGGTAGAGAGAACTGTAGATGTCAACAATATTATGTTGTCAAATCAGAAGTCAGTCAAATTGTTAAGTGTTAGTTAGACATCACTTTCTTGGTTTTTTTTTTTTTTAATGGTGCTGGGGATCCAACACAGGCCTCACCACATATGCTAGGCAAACACTCAACCACTAAGCTACATTCCCCCTGCCCTTGCCTCCCTATTTTTTATGTGCTAACGAATTTTTCCAGTCTTTACACATTTTTTTTAAACCACTAAGTCATACATTTTGCTGAGAGTATATAGCTATTGGTGAGTGGTCTCTATCTGTCAATGTACTCATCATACATGTATGTGTACTTCTTCGAAGTGCTATTCACAACATATGTACTTGCACCTATCCATTTATGAGCTGATATATGTTTTCATATCTTTTTGTAAAATGTCTGTTAATATAAAACATGTAAGGGAGGAGGAGGGGGAACAAGCCAATCTTGATATGTGATGATTATGTGCATATATGATGTTTATTATTTTTTATCAGGGTCTCCATTTTTATCTTAGACATATAAATGATATAAAAGTACTTTTGTCATAATTACCTCTCAATCAGCCCTGCCTATAGTTTTTCTTTTTTTTTTTGGAGGGGGGTGAGGGCAGGGTTGGGGAATGCACCCAGGGCCTCAAACATGATAGATAAACACTCTTACCATTGAGCTACATTCCCAGTCCTTCTAAAAAAATGTTGTCAAATTTATTGTATTTGCTTCCTCTGTCTTTAGGATGAGACAGGTCCCTCATCTAGATCAAGATCATTAGTTTTGGGGTTGTGGTTGTGGCTCAGTGGTAGAGCAGTTGCTTGGCATGTGTGGGGCACTGGGTTCGATCCTCAGTGCCATTTAAAAATAAATAAATATAATAAAGGTTTTGTGTCAATCTACAACCTAAAAAAGATTTTTTTTTTTAAGTGATCATTAGTATCCCAAATAATGAATAGTAGAGAACTAATGATGAGGCCTTCTCAGCAAAGGTCAATCTATGATCTTGGCCAGCTCTAGAATTAACTTGGGTACAGTGACAAGGTGTAGTGTGGAGGTTCCACTTCATGCTCAGGTCAGCTGGAAATCTAAATGATTTTATACCCAGCAAGCAAAAAACAGAATTGGCATGAGCTCCAGACTGGACTATAGATGAGACCCAAGGTGGGCTACTGGTATACCCTGTCCATCGAGCAGATCCTTTGGGCCTGTGGCCAACTGCTTTGGATTCTAATTCACAGTTAGTTCCCCACTTTCAGCCAACACACTCTGAGAGGCCCAGATTCTCCAGACTAGATGCTTCATATAAGGCATGTGGCTACGTCTCAGTGCAATTACACATATCCTGGGGGTTCTAGAATATCATATCAAACCAGTGAGAAATGGTGAGCCTTTTTCTTTAACTTCAGAATACACTAATGCACAGAAGCTGGATAATCTGAGTTTTAATGTTAGGTATGAAGACAGTAAATGTCTGAAAGGATGAAGGACCAACACATACCTGATTCCGAAGAGGCTGCTGTTGTGATGGCCGATCCCTGTGTGTGTGGCTCTCTCGAGTTATTGCAGATGCACCAGAATCTACATGAACTGATCCTACTGGAGTAGGCTAGAAAATGAAATAAAAGTCAAGTGGGATAAACAAGGCTACTTGATGTCTCTGCAAAGGACAGCATAGCATCGTTCTAATTCTCATGGAGTAATTCTTTTCAGCTATCAGGAGAAATTTCAAGGAATCTTGCCTTCTTAGTTTGCTAATCTACAAAAGGTGGTAGTCTGGACCTCAATAGTTCACTGGGGAGTAGATTACCTTTGAAAGTAAAAAAAAAAAAAAAAAAAAAATCCTATGGTAGTATCTGTTAGCACACTCTCGGGACCTGTGGAGCTTTGGCCAGAAAAGCAAATCCAAAAGTTTATTATGGTGCTGGGTTCTATGCCTACAGAAGCCAGGTACCAGATCAGCATATGTAGTGTCAGCTTCTGAATCATTCAATGAAAACTCTAAAAAATCTGGCTTAAATTCTAAAATATTTCAGGATATACAAGTTATAGTCTTAAAAATGTATAATTTCTGCTTCCTAACTTCAGTGAAAGCAACCTATGGCATCATCCTGAAAAGGTTGGTACATGCAAAGTCTAAAATCAAAAGACTTTTCCCCCCTGCAAGGATTTAAGCAAAAAGACTGGAAAATAAATGAGTGGGGGGCAGTGTGGTTGTAAGAAAGAAAGTGATACAATAAAAAAGATGATACTCACAATAGGCCTCCCAACCCAGTCATAGGCATAGTCAAAGGTGTAGCCTTTCCTTTCGAAGAGGTCTGTGAAAAGGGTCCGTAAATACTCATAATCAGGTTTTTCAAAGAAATCTAATCGCCTGACATATCGAAGGTAGGTTGCCATCTCTTCTGTTAGGAAAGAAGTGAAAGGCCATACTCATTAGCTGACACTTCCCATGGGGCTAAGCTCTGGGCCACATAGGGGTATCTGCAGATACCTACACTAGTATTTTCTTAATGAACCAAATAAAAGTGATAATCCCCAGTCTGAATAACAATGAAAGGAAATGCCAAATGCACCCTTTAGATACAGATACCAAGTAAGGAATCTACCTCCTTAAAGTGTCAAGCCATACTGGTTGGAGAATCTTTTTAGTATACTACCTGGAAAGTTCTCACAGAGAGCTTCAATGGGAGTATTCCTTTTGGTGTCACCAATTTTTTGATATCTTTCTTTTAATGTATCAGCCTGTGGAAATTAAAGAAAAAAAATTACCTGGAAAGAGCTGGTAGTTATGAGAGGTTTGATATGTTTTCAGACACAATGACTGTTTTACTCAAGTTGGCAGGATTTGTCACTCAATCCCAATTTTATTTCCTCTCTAATACTAACAAATAAGAAATATAATAGAGATGGTATATTTAGGTATGTGCTAACATCTGCTGGATTCTGGGAAGTTTTCCTTGCAGATATATTTAATAGTCTCAAATAAACATTATTAAATGTGATGAGATGAACAGCTAGGATAAGAAAACAAAACACTGTGGCAATATTTTCAAAACTATAGCAGTTTAGTAATCTCCCAGGCCACTAGAGTTCAACAGTGATTCAGCCTTCTCCCTCTTATATCAGCTCTATATAAGATTGAAAGTATTGCCTAATCCAAGTGGGGGAAACAGTTTCATTACATATATTAAGAAGTTGAAGAGAAAAAAAGTGCTTATGAAAAAATGCTTTTCAATAATGTGCTTCATTAGTAAAAAAAAGTTACCTATGGTATAGGCTTGGCTAATAGTCAATTTGAGTACATTCGTGGCTCAAAGTAGCTGAAGTCTTATATGCTCAGGACTAGACAAAGAACTTATGGATCTTGGACCAACAATGAACTCTTAAGGGATTCTCATCAGGCTCTATCTAGCCTGCTGCACCCAAATTTAAGCCACAATGATATAAAGTAAATTGGAAAGATTTTAAATCTACCACTATCACTATAAAATGATTCATGGGCCATGAGAGCATTTCAAACAATTAATAATATTGTTCACTAATGTACTATTTGGCTACATGATGAGCAAGTAGGATTTATAACTATTTGAAAGCTGTCAATATTAGTGAGAAGATGGGTATGAGTAGGAAAAGACCATAGATGAGCTTTCAGGGGAGAAAATTAAGCACAAAAAAACCTAAAATATTCTTAAACATGAAGGATACTTACTTTCTACAGTGCAAAACGAATCATTCTTCCCTTCTGGCTATTGATTTTCTTTCCATACTAACATGATCAAAGAAATTACAACTAAAAATATGTGTGACATTCAGGTACCTAAAAGGATTTAAGATGGCTTGCTCACCATTTCCTAGTCTAATAGCCAGAAGCACAGAGTAATCATAATGCTTAGAATTGCATAAATGAATAATTAACTCTGAAACATACTTACTCTACTGATCCCTTCTTATGGAAGTCTACTTAAACTCGACATGTTTTGCAAGGAATGGCCATTGTCCAAAAAGGTATTTATTCAATAATACACTTGAACAGCAATGCTGAGCCTAGATTTTCATTTCAGTACAGGTGGGTTCTTAGCCTACACAGGATAAGCAAATATTTTCCAGTCCCCCTTAATGGCATCCCCTGCTAGTCTTTCTGGTAAAATGTGTAGCAGCTGCTGTCATCAATTTGTTCCAGAAATTCCCTGACACACTAGGAACATTCCTCCTGCTACATGATGGTAGTGAAGGAGGGATACCAACACAGAGAGAAAAGCAGCACTTATGTCAAGGCTAAGAGGGAATGAGAAAAAAGATTATGGAGAACTGAAATATAAAGAAGGATGGATTAAGATGAGAAAAAAAATCAAATGTGAACAGAAACAGCTCCTAAAACCCAGGTGGGAATTTACAATGTAGACTAATTTAACTAATCCCTGCTCCTCATTTCTATAGCCATTCTTTCCTTTCGTGTTTCTTAGAGGCATCAAGCCAGCAGCACCTTCTTTAACAACTGCATAGAGACAAAGCCCTCCAATGAACACTTTCAAGGATACCTTGAGTCCTTGCCAGGGTAGGCTGCCTCGAAGGAAATACATGAACATATGGCCTAGGGCTTCCAAATCATCTCGACGGCTTTGCTCTAAAAGGGAAGACAGATCACACATTATGTTTGCAGTTATTAAAGCAGAAAGAGGTTCAAAAGCAAGTAATCCCTTCAGAAACCCTTCTGCTCTGAAAAGGCTTTTACTAATTCTTTGTACATCTAAACCAGAAATAGTATTTAAAACCAAAAGACAATGTGTACTTCCTTTGTCTAGATCTGTTGGCAAGTAGACAGCACATAAAAAGAGCAAATCTTAAATTAAAACCAAGCCCCAATCACTCAATAGTGAGCAACCCACCCCTCACTCAATGCCGTCACCTGCCTGAAAGTGAAGATAATTTAAATAAAATGCTATTTCCAGTATATGGGTTACAATTACCCTTTCGTTACCAACAGGGAAAGTGAGCAGCAGATTAAGCAGCTGAAGCTGTTAAAATAGTCCATTCTGGCTAGGCCTGCAAAGACACAAGCTGTAGAATGCCTGGCATACATGCTTAGCACTTTTTATTCACCACTAAAATTAACACTTAAAATTCATTTTCATGTAAGCAAACCACTTCTTAGTTCCTATTATATTTGTACCATGTCCCGTAACCACCTTAAAAATTTGAAGTTCATTAGTCAGGTGTCCTCTATGAGAACATAAAACAGAGTGTGGGCATTCTTGGAGCTTAACTAAAACAAGTTGCTGTGTTTTTCTTTGAATTAATTGAGAAGATTGTTTTAAAATGGAGCTTCATTTCAGAAAGCTTCTTGTACATTCTTTAGCTGTCTGACTGAATAGTACATGTCTCCATTTCTTATTTGCCAATTATGGTTCATTGCAAACATTTTATGTGTCTGTTTTTCGGAATAAAGTTAAGGGCTTTCTCAAAAGAAATTACAGAAGACTTAAGAGACTACCTTTATTTTATTTTAATTTTTTTATAATGCTCGGGATTGAAACCAGCATTGGAGAGAGGCACTGTAACAACTGAGCTGTATCCCCAGCCAAAAGGCTACCTTGATGTGGGCTAAGATTTGATTGTAGGGCTTTGTTTTGTGTGCAGAAAGTAAAACTGAAGATTGCCATACAGTCAAGAAAAGCCATCCAGTTAACTCCAGATAGAGAAATGCAATGTGTTTAGAATTATGGGAAATTTGCATGAGAAAGAATGAACAGTACTCTACAGGCAGATGAAGAAAAGATAATTTTCTGTGGTCATTAATGGAAAAAAGAGAAAGCAATGGCTGAGGATACAGCTCAGTGATTGAGGACCACCTTAGTGAAGCCCTGGATTCAATCCCCAGAACAAAAAGAGAAGAAAAAAGGAGGCATCCTGACAGAGAAATAAATAATACTGAGCTGGTATATATCCTCTGAAATGATCTTAAAAAGGATGAAATAAAATAGCAAGAACATCAGACACTTTTGTCTACACAGCTTGTCTGAAGTTTGGACAAAATATTACATATGATTGAAAACAAAGCAATTATACAAAAAAACAGTGCAACAGAACAGAAAGACAAATGAAAACCAGCAAGAAAACAAAGGGTGAGTTGAAGCCTCCCACAAAGTAGGGCAGAGAGGGAAACACACTCTGCAGTTTCTCATACTGCATCACACCTACATAACCGCCTCTCCCTTTTTATATCCACTTCCTGTAACAAAAATTAGGAAGGAAGGAAGGAAGGAAGGAAGGGAGGGAAGAAGGAAGGAAGGAAGGAAAAAACCTTACCACACAAATGGTAGAATTTAAGCTAGTTGAGCACTAGAGGGCAAAACTCTCCACATTTTCAGCATTATACAGGCCCATAGGAAAAAAAAATTTCTCTCATGGCAAAGCCAATTATAAAATGAAATTAAAAACATTTCAAACTTACTCAAATAATAATGACACTTTTAAGTCCTGAGAACTGTGGGGAAAATAGCTGTGGAATATGAGATAATAGGAAAAACAATGGTTCCTAAGTTAGGTCCATGACCTAGGTCTTGGTTCATCATTTCTTGGTTCATCATTTTTAATTTAATCCAGTGAAACTGAAATTAAGCATGGCCAAGTCACCAATATGGGGCTTCAGTTTCCTCATATGAAATTAAAGTGTAGGTAGTATGGAAAAATCATTTTCCAGCTCTACCACTCTAAAATAGTCATGATAAATAAATCTTTTCAATAAAAGTAAAAAACAGTTCCATATTTCTTTGAACACTTCACACTTGTGTTCATTATTTCCACAGGCCCTCATTTTTTCATGGAGGATATTTTATTTTCAAAGAAAAAAGATTTCAATACCAGTGAAACCAGTAGGACACAAAATTCTTCATTCTCAGCACTTTAAGAGTCTAACAAAAAAGGGTAAAGGAGTCCTCCCTAAAAATCAGGGAAGAGATTGCAAAACTCCTCTTTGGATCCTATCTGGAGTTATAGTTGGAAAACAAAAACACTCTTCAACCCCACAAAGGCCTGCTTTTTACCAATCAGAAACATGCACTTGGTTTACCTATATTACCTTCGTGATTTTAGGTTACATATATTTTGTTGAATGAAAGAGATAATGCAACCCAGTGTTCTCACGCTAATCTCAACCATTCAATAATACAAATTAGGTTGTCTTAATCTGTGGGAAGGTGGCTATTATCATGTTATGAAGCATGAGATCCAAGCCAAATGGAATCAATTGATTGTGAATTTTCCTGCTTTTAGAATCATGAGCTATATAAACCTATTTTCTTATAAATTACCCAGTTTCAAGTATTCTGTTCTAGCAATAGAAAACAAACTAAAACAGGCATGGTGCTTTCACATATATTATCCATTTTTAACCCTCAAAACATCCTGCTGAAGTATTACTCTCATTTTACCAATAAGTGTTAGGAAGATTAAGTAACTTGTCTGAAATGACACTGATAAGCACAGGACCTTCTAGTTTAATTTTAAAGTATTACATTCAGTAAAGTGAGGATTTCCATATGGTAACTTAAAAAAATTTCCTGATAACATTCATGATTTTAATTCAAGCTGTCTCACACTACTGTGTAATGTCATTTTATTCTTCACTATCAACAGAATTCTCATTTGAATACATATGTAGTTTACTTAATAAGGCAACTTAGTGAATTGATACATTAGTCTTCAAAATAACCTATTAGTGTGTAGCAGTTCATTAATATTTACAAGCCTTATATAATTAGCTGAGTCAGGGAATATGAACCTGATAATATTCTGTTTACATGTCTATACTCTAGGATTTGATTTTCAAACATATTTTTTTAATCACCTAGGAATCTTTTCTCCAAGTAGAAATTTTCAAGAAAGCCTGATTTATAAAACAAATAAAAACGGAAGCTTTTCTAGAGAAGGTACCATGAGGTCCAGGGCTCTGCCAGCTTGGCCTTCCCACTGTTCCTTAGGCTTCTCTTGCACATACTCTTTCCAGCTAGTTCCTCGAATTAATAAGGAAGTCTTCTGTTTTGATTAAAGATTTTAGTAAAATTTATACAGTTTTTTATTTTTTAGTTGTAGGTGGACACAATACCTTTATTTTATTTTTATGTGGTGCTGAGGATCGAACCCAGTGCCTCATTCATGCTAGGCAAGTGCTCTCTCTACCTCTGTGCCACAACCTTAGCCCCTATACAGATTATTAATTGCCAATAAAATACAAGACTCATGGTAAACCAAATATATATATATATATTTAGTTATGAATGGACACAATGCCTTTATTTTATGTATTTATTTTTATGTAGTGCTGAGTATGGAACCCAGTGCCTCACACGTTAGGCAAGTGCTCTACCGCCGAACCACAATCCCAGCCCCACCAAATATATTTTCCAATGTATAAGACAGAATCTCTTCTTTAAAGAATTATGCAGTGAACAGAAGTCTAATCCTTGTTTTAGTGAAGCATGCTTCCTTAATGCAAACATCAGCTTGGTCCTTTTCAGGATGGTCATATAGGAGTTCATAGGTCTGTAAGTACCAAACTCATTACTAGATACTCAGGAAAGTCATTACTTTACCATTTCAATTTCTTTTCTTTTGGGGTGGGTACTGGGGATTGAACCCAGGGATGCTCTGTCTCTAAGCTTTATCCCCAGCCCTTTCTACTCTTTATTTTGAGACAGGATCTCACTAAGTTGCCAAGGCTGGCCTGGAACTTGAGATCCTCCTGCCTTAGCAGGAGGGTTACAGGCATGTGCCACCACGCCCAACTATCATTTCAATTTCTCAAACATAAAAATCACTTACCTTGTGATAAGTACCACAAGTTGTAATGAACAATGGGGATAAATTGTTAATGGTATAGAAAGTTGTTCTAATGACCTGCCCCTTTCATGGAGCAGAAAATAAACACACCTTTGCCAAGATGCGTGTTGATAGACATATATCTTGCAGTTCCAGTTAAACTTTTATGCTCCCTATAAGGTATGTGTTTTTTGGTTTCAGGGTCAATGTATTCCTTGGCCAGTCCAAAGTCTATAATGTGTATAACATGCTCTTTCTTATTGCCTTGTCGGCCAATCAGAAAGTTCTCTGGCTTGACATCTCGGTAAATGAGATTCTTTGAGTGCACATATTCCATTCGAGATAGCTAAAAGAGAAAAAAGGAAAAAAAAAAAAAAGATGGAAATACTTTAAATAAGTATATTGCAATTAAAACATGAAAATATTTTCTCTTGCCAGCATAAGGTTTTTGGATTTTTTTGTTTCATTTTCCCCTTTTTTTTGGAGACAGGGTCTTGAACTTCCTGGCTGAAGCAATCCTCTTATCTTTCCTCACCCAAGTATCTGGTACTACAGGTGCACACACTGCGCCTGGCTCAGCATAATTTTTTTTGTTTGTTTGTTGGGTTTTTTTTCAGCACTAGACATTGAACCTAGGGCCTCTTGCATGCAAAGCAAGCACTTTATCACTGAGCACATCCCTAGCCCTCAACATAAATTTTTACTGAAATAAAAATAAAACATCTCTTCTTTACCATCTACTTTCCTGACTTGTAAAGCAAAAAACTACTTTCTTTCACAAATAAATAACAACTGTCAAGATTATAAACAGGAAGATAGTACAGTTGGCTAAAATGATTTACCTCATAATGTCACATTTTCCAAAAGATGACTGGGATTAACTAAAAGGAAAGAAGTATTCCCAAGGTAGGATGTCAGACAACTAGGAGCCTCTGAGACAGGTCCAGTGACACATCTACCTACTGACCACATCTCCTATCCTCAATTGGACAATAGTTCCCCATCCAGCTCTCACTGTTGTAGAAACAAGGAAAGTGAGGTCTAGAGAAATTAACACTGGCCTGACATCAGAAAGCTAGTCAGTAGCAGGGACACAACTTTTATTTAAAAGTAAATATAACCTGGGGCTGGGGTTGTGGCTCAGTGGTGGAGAGCTTGCCTAGCATGTGTGAGGTACTGGGGTCGATCCTCAGCATCATATAAAAAATAAATAAATAAAGGTATTGTGTCCATCTACAACTGAAAAAACAAAAAAGTAAATATAACCAAATAATAATCGCAACATTATTTCAAATTTCATTCAATATTTTTATATACCAAGTTTTTCTACTTACTTAATATAGAAAAGGAAGCTTAGACATTTAGAGTCAGATGTCAAAGTCAATTTTTCTTTTCTTTTTTTCAGTCCTGGGGATTAAACCCAGGAACTCACATATGTATGCTAGGCAAGCATCCTTCCACTCGACTACAACCACAGCCCATCAATTTTCTAATACTTCCGATTTTTTACTGGATGGGTAAGACCATTAGCATTTCAAATGAATAAAGATGCATCTGTATCCTTTCTCTTAAGGCCTGTCAAGCTTTTCAAATGAACGGTTGCAATGTTTGTTAAGCTGGTATCAGTATATAATTTGGGAGAAGCTGCAAGAGCTGCCTTTTGGCCAGTTTAAAGTGTGTAATAGGAGAGAACTAAGGCAAATTCTTGGTTACACAACTCTGAATGAAGGTTAGTGCAGGGGGTTACACCCTCAATCTCTTCTAAAATGCTACAGTGAAAGAAGAGTACATGACAAAACCTTTAAAATTTATAAATAAAACACTAAAGAAATTACTTTACACTACAACTATATCTAAGTATCCTCTTTCTTTCTAATCTAAATTATATACTATTACTTCAGTTTAGGGCAGGGTTTTGCTCCAAGGTACAAATTCTTAAAATACAGCAAACTGCAGATTCAGTGTGACTTCTTTGAGTTAACACTTTTTGCCCCAGCCAACTTCCTAGAATGCCATTAGCTTATAAAAACCAATTCACAGCTAATTAATAACCAAAAGGCCCATAAGGATATGGCCGGGGGAGTGGCCTTTTGGAATGGCAATGACAACTTACCAACTGGATGGCTATCATTAACACCGTCTTCAAAGTAAATGTCCGGTCACAGAGGTCAAACAAATCCTCCAAGCTAGGGCCAAGAAGCTCTAGCACCATGGCATTGTATTTCCCACATGGTCCAAAGTAGTACACTTGTGGGAGACCTTCACCTGAAAGCAGAGGGGAAATGAGATATAGAATGGGAGACACAAAAAACAAAGAATGAGACAATTGCTTTAACAGTGAATAAGATATAAATAAAGTTCAATTTGTAAAATTTCCATTTCCTTTCACAGTCCCTACTGGAAAAGTTAAAGTGAGCACAATAGCTTCAATGGAAACTAATAATGTGTAGGAAAGGCTAAGTCATTGCACAATATGTTCAAATAAGCAATTATTTAATACCAGAGTGCCAAAGGCATTTCCACTGCTACATAAAACAGAGAATGGTCCTTGATCCCTTATTGGAACAGAGTGTAAACTATTCTTCCCAAAGGATGCCTGAAAATGCAATATCATAAAAGGTTCAAAGGAAGGCTCGCTGAGCTCAAAGACCAGGCTAATTGACCTTGTTGCATTAGCTAGTTTCATTAGCACTCCTTATGCTTCCTGCCAAAGCCACATGGAGCTGTTTGCAACTGCTGCCCCATGGAGAACTCAGATTGAAGGGGTGAAGTCAGAGAGGGTACAGCCTGGCCCCAGGCCAGCACAACTGGCTCTTTTCTCACAGGGAGTCTCTGTAGTGCTCTGTTTTCTATCAGCTGGAGAAAAGTCAACAGACACTTAGCATTTGGTTGCTGATAAGCAATTATGAAGGGAAAAAGAAGAGGAAAACAAAAACCAAAACCAGGTTTGGTTTTCCCAAGATTTGAAATTCACAGTTACAAGATGCCAAAACCTAGGCTTTCTTACCAAAGTGGCAACTTGAGAATGAATTCCCCCCTTAAAGTGTACTGGAAATATGAGGCATACAATAAACATATGTTACTGGCATTATGATAACAGTGCATATTTATGAAACTATAGAACATAAAAAAAATTATCCGGTTTCACAGAGCAGAAATATTTCTATCTCACATATTTATGTAAACCAGTCCACAGTCATATATGACATTAATTATTGTTAGCTTCTACTTCCAAGCGTTTTAGACAACAAAACTCCATCTTCCCATTCTCATCTTATTTGTAGGGGTGAAATACGGGCAGAGTAATATACATCTAATATACCCTACTCTACAGGGAAGGTCTTATATATCTGGAGTTAGTGATTTATTGCTATAGTTAAATAGGCCTATACAGCAATATTTAACTATTTCATGTACTGCATTAGTCTGTCTTGTTCCACTTAAATACTAAACATTAACATTTTCTTTCAGTATATTCATTCCTGGATTGTATCATCTAATATGGTATAATCTGCTCCAGCTAACTTCAGTGGTTGTTTTCATTTTCCCTGTCTCTCCAATAAGGAAACAGGAGTAATTTGAAGTGTCTTTTCCCCCCTGCCGTTCTGAAGAAGTCATTTTTTTTCAGTTTATTTAAAATACACAAAATCTAACAGCTGTTTCCAATGAGTCCTGCTAAGAAATCCAATACAAAACACTACCCTAGAGATTTATTGCTTTTACTATCAGATACACAGTAGATGGAGTTAGGAAACCTTTTATGTCCTATTTAATATTTTTTGATGCCACCACAATTGTATTTTCCTAATACAATATTACATTCTTCAAAGCTAGCTGTGGTACACTCTGTCGGGAGCCTGCCCAATATCCATTCCCCCTTGTTCCTATTTAATAACAGAACTTCTGACTGTTGCAAAAAACAACTTACTCAGTTAAAACTTTCTAGTCTCACTTGACAATCATGGAAACAGTAATCACTGGGTGGGGTCATTCTAGAACAGTTCTTTCAAGGGAGCTTACTCAAATGGGAGATATTCTTTGAAGGTTCTCAAGTCATTACACCTAGAGAATGTAAGACAGCTCCAAGAATGGATAGAGAAAAAATAGAAGAGTCCTTCATTCCTGTGGAATAGCCATGCCAATGTTGGACTTCCCTTGCTTCTGGATTTTTCTTAAATAAAAGAAAAATCAATCTCTACCTTGACTGAGTTACACCTATTTGAATTTTTTTAAACAGCCAAATCTAATCTTAATTAATAAACATTTTATTCCTTTAAATTGGCTAAATTGCATATCTGGGCACAAAATCCTCTTCCTAAAGTACAAAGTTAAAAGTCATGCCTCCTTAGAAATATAATATTGGCATGATTTTCTAGACTTGCAGCCAGTGCTTAAGGATCAGTTAAATGAGACAAATGATCTTGTTTTCAACAATCTTTAGTACCAAATCTAGGCATCTCTTGCCAGAAGTTCCTATGTTTACTAGGAATTCACAAAAGTATTTTGAGTAATGTCTATAATTTATAACAACAGTGCCAGTCAAAACTCCTGCCTAGGGCTGAAGTTGTGGCTCTGTGGAAGAGCACTCGCCTAGCACGTGTGAGACGCTGGGTTCAATCCTTAGCACCACCTAAAAATAAATAAAATAAAGGTATTGTGTCCAACTATAACTAAAAAAAAACCAAAAAACAAAAAGAAAAAAAAAGCTTTAAATGCAACAAAAACTAAACATATAATAGACAAGGTTATTTCCTATAAGTAATTATGAAGGAATGGGAATGGATGTGGGAGAGTTGGATGGGGTAGATAGGCATGAATTCTTTGATCTATAGTATATCAAAAACTAAGATGGTGTTCGGTGTGGTGGCGCACGCCTATAACCCCAGCAGCTCGGGAGGCTGAGGCAGGAGGATTGCAAGTTCAAAGCCAGCCTCTGTAAAAAGCGAGGCACTAAGCAATACAGTGAGATCCTGTCTCTAAATAAAATACAAAATTGGGCTGGGAATGTGGGTCAGTGGTTGAGTGCCCCTGAGTTCAATCCCTGGTACAGCCCCCCTAAATAAAACAAAACAAAAAACTAAGGTGGCTTTACAATCTCTCATCTGCTCTGTAAGTAACACAAAAATGAGGTTTCCCACCTAAATCAGTCAGCTACACAGGAGCTGTTTAATCACAGGTTAAATCTTTTCTAAATCAAAACTGCAAGATTATGTACATTTACTACCCATGTTATCTTATATATTTCCCCTACAATGAAACAGCCTTTTCATCTATCAATAACATTCTTATAAGCCCTGCTGCACATATGGTTCACATGCATATCGAGGTACACAGAATAGGAAGTGAGGTGTTCACACTATAACTAATTTCTTCTGCCATAAATTTAACTTGAGTTAAACACACATCAAGGATAATGGCTTCTTTATCATCCAAGCTGTTACCTAAAAAGATTCCATAATGCACTATGAAAATACCTACTCTAAGTAGAGATATTTTTAAATGCACATTAGACTGAGAACTGAAATAGAACCATGTTGAAGTTTTTGGTTTGATCATATTACTGCCTAATAATTAGCATTTTATTCTTTTTATGAAACCAAATTACAGTTGGGCACAGTAACTCATGTCTATAACCCAGTTACTTGAGAGACTTAGGCAAAAAGATAAGAAGTTTTCTGAGGCCAGCCTGGGCAACTTTGCAAGACTCTGCCTGACTCAAAGTAAAACAAAAGGGGTGGAGGGTTAGCATGTAGCACAGTAGCAAAGTGCTTGCCTAACATTTTCAAGGCTCAGGGTTCAATTCCCATACCACAAAAAGTAATTAATCAAATTATTGAATTGTAAAGCAAATTCAAATAAGTCCTATACTTGTATTAATACCTGGATATAAAAAATTATATTAATATTTCAATATAAAACATAAGTATATTTTGGTGATGACTATCTTCTAAAGGCAGGCTGGAGAACACTGTGAAAGACAAAATGACTTTGGTAAGCTCCTTCTTTTGCATTATGTATATAGTTGTTTTTTTTTTAAGTTAAAAAAAATCAGGATAATTTTTTTCTCCAAAATTAAACTCTTGGCTAGGGATGTAATTCAGTGGTATAGCACTTGCCCAGCACACACAAGACTGTGGGTTTAATTCCCAGCACCACAAAAAGAAAATTGAACTCTTTCTCTTTTGATCTCATCATTGTCTGTGAGAAATCAGGGCATTATAAATACATGAGGAAGTATCATCAGGAAAGACAACGTTAACATGTACATTCAACAAGAAAACAGAAATAGATAAACCAAATGATACTGCATAGGAATTAGGGAAAGGGAAAAACAAAAGCATAATTTTTGAAACATATATATATAGTTGTAGATGGACATAATATATATGTGTGTGTATATATATGTATATACATATAAAAATAATGAATATAACAAAGATAAGAGATAATACATTGTGTTTGTTTCTTTAAAAAGAAGATATAGAGGGCTGGGGTTGTGGCTCAGTGGTAGAGCACTCACCTAGCACTTGTTAGGCCCTGGGGTTCAATCCTCAGCACCACATAAAAATAAATAAATAAAATAAAGGTATTGTGTCCAACTACAATTAAAAACTAAATATTTTCTTAAAAAAGAACAAATAGAATTCCTTTCATTTCTCTGACAGAAAAATACCTCTCTATAATATGAACCAGTTCTTCGTGAGTTTACTCAAAATGTTGGTTTAATAACAAAATCAGCTAGATTCAGAATTAAGGAATCAAGATTATTCTATTCTATGATGAAAATGTTTTAAAATGATCTTATTCACAAGCTTCCTGGGAACTGGAATATTGCTAGACTATGCTGTTAATATGAGCTTAAATTGGTATGGTGGAGGAAGAAGAAGATTCCCCTGCTGCACTAACACTCCAGTCCCACTCCCATTACCCTTTCTATGTCTATGTATCTGTCTTCCCTATTAATGAAGGCTATCTGAAGGTAGTGACTACTGTGTATTAATTATATTTGTATGTTAGCATCTAGCACAGGTCCAAGCATATGGTAGATATTCATAGAACAAGAACGACAATAGAAAAAGTTATAAGAAATATAAATCAATGACACAGTATTTGAATTTTTTATTTGGAATGCATAATGCTTCCCTCAAAATTCTAAAACACACACATAGAGTAAATCAAATTCAGTCAATTTTAAATGTGCAGGGAATGATAACATAAAGAGGATTTTTCTGTGTTCTTGTTTAAATTTCTTTATATTTATATAT